ACGTTAGGATGTTGGAAGTCAGAAATCACTTTAACATTTCACAGACATTGAGAATCCAGTGGTGGTTTCTGCGTTGTCTCAAATGAATACTTTGCTATTAATTATTTATGTGCTATCTAATCTGTGATTATTTTTTTTTAGTTTAATTTTATTTTTTTAAGACACCTGCCAAGAAGTGCTCCCTTTAAGATGTTTTGTTTTCTGTAGTGCTCAGTTTTACAGGCAATTCTGTTTTGGATGTTTCTGACTGGTTGAGCAGGAAATACATTAAACTGTTAATGTTCATGTGTCGATTTGTTATTTAAGTGTCAACAGCCAGTTTTTAATTCTTTTTTGCACTCAGTCTGTCTCTACTCAGTCTTGCATCTTGACACCCATGCCAAGAGATGAAGGCATCTTCAAAATTTTTTCATTAGAGACCCTTTGTAGCACTAGCTGTGACTGGTGTGCTGGGTATTGTGCAGGTGCCAGGGAACACGAGGCCATATAAAAATCTGGAGAGAGATATAGGTAAAAAATACCTTGAGGACTGCAACTGGTGTGCTGCTCTGAAAACCACTTAGTCAGTTTGGTGGTATATCTTCTGTCCTCAGTAGTGAACAGTAGCTTAAATCCTAAAGGAGAAGGATTTATATTCCTTCCAAAACTATTTTTCTTTGTTATACATTATAATTTGATATCTGCAGTTATTTCCACTAATGTATATTTCTTTCTGAGATTGGATGGTGTGGTTCTATAGAAAATACAGCATTTTCTTCTTCAAATGATTGTATATATGCTCACACTCTGCCTCTGTGTTCCTTTTTTTAGCCTTCCTCTTAGGCTAGTGATGATTTCCCCTTAGACCATCTTTTCTTCACGCTCTTTCCAGGAGCTAAAAATGAGCTGTGCTGTGCACATCCCTGTTTCCTTTTACCTTAACACATTAACTGATTGTTTGGCTTTAATCCTTCAACTTCTTTAATTCCTTTACCAGTGTGATTTATTTTGGCTGTTTTTTCATTCCTTGCTCTACCACCTGGAGGTGAATCCATGTGTTCACCCGTTTTCAGTTGCAAGTGCTTTGTTGCATCTTTGAACCAAGGGTCCCCAAGTTCTCTGTCCACGCCTGTCCTCCTTGGCACAGCTGAATTCTCTCTAGGAGCTCTTTCAGCAGCTTCCTCCACGCTGACAAGCGGGCAGCTGCTTTCCTTGCACTGTGAGCATTGTCAGAGCTCTAGACCCTGGAGATGACTTGGATTCCTCCATTCTGGTGATCGCAGATGCCGTGGTTCCAGATCTGTTTATCAAGTATGTGCCTACCCCGTCTTTGGCACTTGATAAAGCTGGGTGTCGGGGCTACCTGACAGAGGCTACTCCTAACAGGTTTCTGAGCACAGGAGCCTTTTCTCGCAAATGTTGCGAGAACTGAACAGGCAGGAATAATACTAGACTCAAGTATTTGTTGCATGAAGTGTAAGAATTTGCCAGAGGAAGTACCTTTCCAGTTTTTAACTGTAGTGTTGCTTTGTAATTATTCATTTGGCTGGAAGATTCCGGTCTTCTAAAGGCTAACCCAGATGCAACTTTGCCAGGAATTGCATTACTTGGAAAATAATAAAACTCCTATGAGTATACAGTCTCCAGGTGAAATTGAATGCTGAGCATATTGTTGGAAGCAGTCTGAATCTTATTAAATATGTATCCTGGTGTTACAATTGCACTTCTTTACAGAATGCTTATATGGTTGTGAGTGGCTAGGATTTCTCTTCATATGGTGGTGAAGAATGAAGAAACCAGTTCTGTACAGGGAGTTCGGATTTAAAATAATAAATACCTACACAAGTAGAAGGTCAGTCATACTTTGCAGATTTCTCTGCCCTGTGCTCTTCACTGAATCCTCATGAATTGTATTTCTTATCTGTTCCCCTCAGTTTGTTGATACTTTTAACATGAGGGAAAACTATTTTGATATTTTTCTGTCAGTTATTTTGACATTAATCAACATTGCAGATCTTGTTTTGTTTGGTGTCTGGGTACATCATAAAAAGAGTTGCTGAAAGAGTTCAATTATAATATCAGCATCTCTGCCAAATGTATTGAGCTGTTCTGAAAAGCGGCTTGTCTTTTCTGACCCAGATACACAGATTCCAACTGTGGGAGATGCTGCCAGAAAGACTTTTGGCAGAAGGCCAGCAATAAAATTATACTGCAGAAAAACACAACATATTTTCAGCAGCACTTTATACAGTGTGACGAAAAATTACCTGTCTCCTGAATGCGAAGCAGAAGTTAAAATAAACTTGCAATTTAAAGTTGCAAACCTCTTATTCTGACTTTTAAAAGAACAAAAAAGGATATAAATTCCAGTTCTTTTCTATTACTGTGTCTGATACACCTCAGGCTGTGTTAGATACTCACTGGTTTGTTATTAGCAACCTTGGTTGTCCTTGCTGCTCTGTTAACATAAACTTTGAGTGATCTTAGGGTGGTGTACACTGTAAACTGTAGTTCCGATGGGCAGATGCTGGTGTAAGGGTAGATTTGGAGGGTGTTTTTAATGCTTCAGCTGAATATTATTGGCATGTGCCTTCTTGATGTAGCATTTAAAACCAATTTTCATGGTATTCTACTTGGCCTGGCCAGGTGCCTAAACAGCAGCTCACTGAAGTGAGGGTTTGGAGGACTGGAGTCCAGTGACCCTGGCTTCCTCTTCTTCTCTGTTGCACCAGTAACACTTCGATACGAGGCACTACTCTGTGCTGCGAGGGGATACCAGGGTGGCAAATGTAGTCCGTCTCTCCTTTCTAGAAGCTTATAGCTCCCCGATCCTGGTGTTACGTTTCAGTCCCCATGGCGCGCAAGTACCTGTTTCTCCTGCTTTTTCACTTTTCTGTTCACAGGCACTCAAAGGTAGCTAAGCATATTCATTACTTCTGGCTGTTTAAATGTCTGTCCCTTGGGAACACAACTGCTAGGTGCAGGAATATATCCCACTACAAAGGCTTCATCTGAAATTCTTTTCCTTGTTTGTCTTGTGCCAAAGCATAAACTTCCTCTGTGAAGGATGGGACGTTTAATGGAAACGTTGTTAGACTGTCATGGCGTTTTAATAACATTTCTAATGTGTCAAATCCCCAGTGACATTAAACCACATTGCAGACTCTGCTCATCTCCTCTGTGACCTGGTTTGGAGACAGTATTTAGTCTTGTTTTACACTTTAGGGCCACATGATGCAGAGGTAAAGCGACTTTGTCAAGGTTGCCAAGGTCTTGGCAGTGCTAGTAGCTTTTCCTAGAAATTTTCTTGCAAGTGTGGGTGGCAGCCCCTGGGTAAGACAACCGTGCATTTTAATATTGTGCTTTTTAGTCTGGGCATCAGCTGTTACTTCCCTGAGGATGCCGGGACAAATATCCTGCTATAGCCTGGTAGTAAAATGAGGCTGTTGGATTTATGGAATTGCTGCTCACTTCACATAATGCTTTCTGATGTGTTTGGTGCTGAGCTATGCTCTGCTGCCTTAGTCCATATGGTTGGAGCAGATTTGATTTTAGTTTTCCTTAATTTAATTCTGCATGTTGTCAAATGTACTTTGTTCTGTATATTGTGTCTGCACTTTTATAGTAAACTCCCTCCTGTTTAGTGCTTTTATTGAAAATTTTCTCTCAAAGTCTGAACTATATTAGGTTTTTACTTCTGTGCGCATTTCTGTGAAATATTCTTAGGATGCTTATGACTTGAAAGACATTGTATATCAGCTTCAACTCAACTTTCAGGATTTTTTTTTTTCCCACCTTTCTGAGTTTTATTATAAAGATCCCTTTCTAATTCAGCTGTGTATGCCCTGACCTTAGCCACTGACTGCTGAGAAAAAGGGCAGGTAGAATCGAACTCATACATACATACCTTTGTCCAACAACTTATACTTTTCACTGAAACTTGAACCTGTCTTGAAAACACGGTGGTTACTACCTGCTTAAGGCAGAGTATTGAGAGGTGTTGGTGTTCTTGCTTCGTCTGTCCAGTAGAAGATTAACCCTCATCATAGCTGTGAAACATTTATTTTCGTTCTGTTTCAGATTTCCAAAGAACACTGAAAAGCACTCAGCACATCCAGAATTGCACCCTGAGGTATGTCTGTTTCCAGAGCTTGTGAGGTAGTTTGCAGACTTGCCCTCTACACAACAGTCTGCTCAGCAATTTACTGAAACACCAGAATTTGCTCAGCCGGCTATCTTTGTCCATCTGCTTTCAATACACTGTACAAGCTGATAAGCAACAGCTTGCAGTAGTCTTCGGAGGGAGGCCAGGCTGGAGTGTTGCTTGGAGTCTAGAGACGTTGTACTGGGCATATGCTGAAGTCAGCAACACATTCCAGTGCCCTTCTCTCTGCCTGGAATTGCCAAGTTACAGTTACCAGAGAAGACAGCAAACTGAAAATGTGAAATGTAGGAGTCGCAGGGAAGAAGAGTGTGTGAAGATAGCTGGAATTTAGTTTGAAGAGAGAACTAATTTGAAATAGATAGGTGATCTGGAAACATGTCTCATAAAAGTCTCTCTGGCTTGCCATCTGCTGACTCAAAAATCATATATTATTATTATTATAGAAAAGCAAAACAAGAAGACCTCGTAAAGAGCCTGGTTGCTTCTGGAGATGGTGGAAGGCACACTATAAAGTGTGGAAGAGTTTATGACTAGCTCACAGAATACATAGTGCCAAAACAGTAATCTTTGCTTATTTTTCCTCCCAGCTGCCCCTGCTTGGCTTTCAGGATCTCTTAAGAGAAGAATCTGGTCCTATGAAAGAACATCGCCTTGATCGCTTCTGGGAAGCAATTTGGTAGAGTGTTAATATACCTTGGTTAGGGTATATAGCCTTCGTGATAAGAAGTGAGGTCCTCCAGGGTTTTCATTAGCTTGCTTTTCCCAGGTATTTTTAGTATGACTGCATTTAACTCTCTTGGGGTTTCTTCCTTGGCAATCTTTAGCTGCTGGAGCAGACAGGCCCCTGCACAGCATTCTTGTCTGGCTGCTTTTTGTTTTACCCAATTCTACATCCTAAATTCAGTGGTGTGAGATACAAACAACTATTAGGCACTTGCTGCCAAAGCTATTGGTCCTGTAAACCCGATTCATTTCTTCTTAACTGGGAAAATAGCGAAGCGGGATTTGTTGTTGCCTTTCTCCTGGCATGTTCAAATCTCCATGGGATGCAATGTTTTAATTACTCCCTGTCACACCCCTGAGGTTTAAGCATCTACAAGGCTTTCAAGTCATCTTGCCTATCCCTCTGCCGTTGCCAAACATGCTTTTAATCTCTAACAATGTCAGGATTCTCTGACAGACAATATGCAACATATTGCTAGAGAAGAAGGATCGACATACAGGAGAAAAGGAAAACATTTGAGTGTATGTGTCAGTCTGCAGAAATTTACTGACTGGGTTTCCAATTGCTTCAAAACGTTGCTGAAAAGCTGATGCAACAATATGTGCAGCGAAAGGAAAACAGGAATTTTCTGCAAGGACTAGAGTATCTTGCTATGCAATGAGCTTATGCTTTCCTCTCTCTCACATTACCTGTTCTGTTATTCTGCTCTTCTCTTGTCTTACAGAGCATTTATTTGCAGTTCCTTATGCTGCCAGTGCTGGTGTTTGTTTCCTAGTTTAGTACAAGAGGGCTGCTCTTGCAGGATCTTCTAAATGTTGTGTGCTGTGAAAAGCAGTGCAAGGGCAGAGAAGGCGGTGCGGATGATTTCAGCTGAACGTTCTCACAAGTCTTACATCTTCAGTTTGCTATAATGCACTTGTCTTTTTTAAATAACAATTTACAGTTATTGCCACCTGAAGTCTTAGTTCTTGTACAGCATCTGACACATTCAGGATTGAGGGCTGCACTGGGGATTTCAACAGATAATTACTTTTTTATAATTAAATAGAGTGTGTTTGATTCCTAATGCGCATGCGACTGACAAATAGAGACTTCTTGAGCTGGTTTCATATAGAGCATATTTGAGATGTTGGATTTCCCGTCGTCCTCATATCAGAAACTTAAGATTGCCAGGTGGCTGACAAACCGCACTGAGATAAGCTCTAACTGGCATGACAAAGTCGTTACATACGTGTGGGCACATTACGAAAAGTTGCCTTCCACAGTGACATCTGCTTGTCGTTCAAGAATAAATGGTTCAGTGGCTGCCTCCCCATCTTGAAGCCTGCTTGCTTTAATCAGTGGTTTGACTTAATGTGCTGCTTTGAACACTTAGTGGAATTAACATGTCATTTCTTCTGTTTTCAAGTTGTTTCTCTCTTTTTGCAGGTGAATTACAGAAAGTGACTCCCAGAGCATCTTGGCTGTATGAACTCTTGAGCTGTCAAGGGACTGAGAGGCTTATGAAGAGGTTCTGTCAGGCAAAACAGTGCTTAGCAAAGACACCGAGGAGGAGGGAAAAGGAGAAAGGGAGGGAGAAAGAGCTGAAACACTAACAAACCATGGTAGGTATTTGACATCGTTTATAGGGTTGCATTAAAAATATTCTCTGACAGTCTTGCATGGGGCCTGACAAAACCAGAGTAAGGGGATTTTCTGACCTTGCGCTAAATTAGAGATGGTACTGCATGCTTTGAGCAAAGCAAATGAGGTTTGATGTATTGTCAGCCTCTTAAAACTGGAGTTGTCTTGTGAGCCTGCATAACATGAATTATTAAAGATGAATGAAGGGGATGCTTATAAGGTATTCTAATAAAACTGGCATTAGCAAGCTGTAGCAAACAGCATGGGTGACCTTGAACTTGCAGATTGCATAACCAAATGCCGATATTCCCCTTCTAACTCTTCCTCACAAAAGCAAGTGTTGATTATTCATATTTGTGTGCGTGTGATTGAATGTGGTTCTATGCACGCTTTGTTAATAGTGCAGATGAAATGTGTGTAGTCAAATATACTTGGTGTATATTGTTTAAGTGAGGAGTTATTTCTAATCTGCCTGGTATTGGCTGCAAACTGGGAATGCCTGAGATGTTGAATTTGTAAAGCTGTGCAAGTATGAAGTATTGTGATTGTAAGATTCTGAAGATGTGTTCACAAAAAGGCAATAAACCTACCTAGTTCCTGAAAAATACCTGTGGAGAGCAGTTTAAGCATATTTGTATATTATTAAGTCCTCTTAAGGTTATTACTGAGAGAATGGAAATGAGAATAAATGCAATAAATTTTAAATACAGTTCTCTAACACTTGTGTAGCTGATTGCTGCTGATAGGCTGTGTGTTTATACTCATATTAAAAAAAAAAAAACAAAAAACAAAAACCAAAACCCTAAGATGAGACTTTTACCTGTTATAGAGCATAAAGGGAGGAAGAACACTTGGCAAAGCAGAGTTGTCAATATATTGTATTTTAAATAGTGTCCCATTTTGCTATTATTTTTGGCCTAAATTGTAATGAAGAATTGATCTTGTCAGTCCCTCTTCATTAGAAAACAAAACAAATGTCTTCTAATTTAGGAGTTACTAATTTGTTCCTGTTTGACTGTTTTCCCTAATTGATATTTCATGAGATAAGAGATGGTGGGGGTGAATTAAGAAACCCAGCTTGTCAGTTTTCACTGCTGAACTGCAGCTTCTTTCTGTATCCATGTTGTGGATAAGCCACAAGAGGGACCTCCGGGAAGCATTTTGCAACCCATGAAGGTACTGGGGATAATACCAGACCCCGACTGATGCGTTTCTTTGACTACCTGAATTGTCCATCTGGGTAGGAGCACAAAAGTTAGGACAGGAATGATGTCACATCGACCTTCGATGGAAGGGACCTACTGAATGCCATGAGCCAGGAAATCATGACCAGTTCCTTAACAAGGATTCAACCCAGAGGCCTTTGAGATCCTTCAAAGGCTCTTTTTGTCCCTAGGAGTGTGTGCTGTTACAAACCCATTAAGTAGGGGTGAAAATGAAACCTACTTAAGGTATTTAATGTGTAGGAGGAACAGAGATTTTTGGTTGATGATTCCAAGTTCTGGGAGGGTTCCAGCAGTGATTGATGTGTCTGCAGAGAGCAAGACTTAGAGCTGCTCTTGCCAGAGGTCTGTGCTGTGATCACAGCTGGTCCAGGTCACTGTTTAGATTAAGTAAGTCTCATCTGGATAGTGTGTGACAAACTGTAGCTTCCTAGCACAAGTTACCCAACCACTTCAGTTTACCTTCCTCAACAGTATCACTCAGGACTTTGAGTTTCACTGCAAACTTAATTAGCACTCTAATCGCTTCCTATTCTTTCTTTTTTTTTTTTTTAAGAAATTATTTCGGTCTCTTCTTACCAGTTTATCTCTGTTCTCATCTTCATTCATGTCTTTGTAAATCCCTGTGCAGTTTGCTAAGCCTCTCGCAGCCATACGTATTGCCTATGACTTCATCTGCAGCAGTAACAAAACCATAAGGGAATGGCTATTTAATTGTCTTGTTCTAAGGCGTGTTGCCATTGTCTCTAGCATAAATGGAGGAGAGATGGCAGCACTCAGCACTTCCAGGATATGCAAAGTTGTATTTGGAGAGTATAAATGCCTTTTACAAAATAGGTATCTTCTCTGCATTCTCCTTGTCTGCCCTCCTTTCCACATGCTTTACTCAGTCTGCTTTCACCCTAGAATACGTACATTCTAAATTTCCCTACCTTGAAATGGGGTTATCTTTTGGGATAAGGACCCTGGCTTTTCTCTTTGCTCTGAGCTATCCAGCTGCTGAAGGTCGACGCAAGCCAACAAAGATCACTGAAATTCAGGAACTCCTTGATTCCTGCAAGTATTCCAGGGGAGGGAAGCCCCTCTCTCTTTCAGTACTATTGCTCACAGCTTCTATCTCCATGAGATGTAGGTCCTTAAGGCAAGATCAGGGCCTAAGTGATTTCTCACTGACTTTGAAAGCTTAATCTAAATAAACAAGCTAGTCAAAGGATGAGGGAGGTCAGAGACACTTAATAGTGACATGAGTTGCCCAAGATCTTAGGTTGTCTGCTGCAAAGCTGGGAATGAAACTCAGGTTTTTTTGGTCCCCTGCTTCAGCACTCTAACCTTATACTTAGCCAGCCAGACCATGCCCTCTTCTCAAAGAGAAGCCTGGGGGGGAGGGCTGGCAGAAGTGAGAAAAACAATGAAAATGAGAAAAAAGAAAATGAAGGGGGGAAGTCATGAAAGGACAAGATGTAGAAACTCCATTACTAGCCATTGTGAACAGAGTAAGGCATACTACAGGTCTTGACCCTCTTTTGTATCCACCATAGCTGTACATGGGAGTACGGAGATTTGCCTAGTCCTACACTTAAGTTCTCCCTCTTTCTGATTTGTGAGTAGCGCAGTCTCACAACTTCACTTACGATGGACAGTCCAGACAAAAGATGAAATTCGGCTTACTTAATTTTTAGATGTCTGTAGCAGCTAATCTGATATAGTAGTCTAGACCTCTGTAGTCACATGTGGGTGGGGAAATGTACCTCTAAAGCACAATTTCTCATCCTAAAGTAGACATAAACATAAACTCTGTTCCAGATGTGCCTGGCAGACAAAAACATGAACTGCGCTCCACATGTGCCTATTCCTCCTAGTAGCCAATAAAAGGATTCTCAAAGAGTTGAATTTAGGCATCAAATATTAGGTGCCATAAACCCCACCCAAGGTCTTATATGTTTTACCAGCTTAATGCTGATTTTGCACTGGTATTTCGTTTCTTTCTTTTTTCTCTTTAAAATTTATTTAAAGATAAGAAATCACTCCTCATGATTATAAGCAATGGTCATGATAAAACATTTTCCTACGTCTTTCAGGGAGGATTCCCATTCAGGCAATGTCCTTCTGTTGATAATCCAGTAACTTTGTTCTTTCCCCCCCCCTGTTTCCCACTTCATAACAGAGATCTATCCGATCTTTTGCTAATGATGACCGCCATGTTATGGTGAAACATTCAACCATTTATCCATCTCCAGAGGAACTTGAAGCTGTCCAGAACATGGTATCAACAGTAGAATGTGCCCTTAAACATGTCTCTGACTGGATGGATGAAAAGAACAAGTCTACGAAATGTGAGGGTGATGCGGAAGCAAAGGAGGAAGGTGGAGAAAGCAATGCCAAGTGAGTGAGTCGAGCCTCATAATGTGTTACTGTACTGCTCTGAATGGGTTCCTTTCCTTCTAAATGAGTCGTAGTGTTACTTGATTCTGTTGCATACGAATGTTCATAGGAGGAAGTGGATATATTTGGACTTTTTGAGGTGGGAGCATGTAGGGTGAGTGCAGGGAATAGTAATAAGCCCAATGTGGGCAGCAGTTGCTCTCTATTTCATTATTTATTTTACTGTGATGTTGTGAAGTTGCATTTAGCAGACAAACTTTTCAGCAATTTTAAGTGAATTTACGTCCCTGTAACACACAAATGCAAATCCACAGCCATGTAGCTTAGGGGCTCCTTCACTTTAAGACACACAAAAAAGACACTTATAAACTTTTGTTGTTTATCCAGTGACCTAACTTTTCTAAGGATCCGTTACCTTCTATTACTGTTGCGGTTTAAATGCAGTAGGCAGCTAAGCCCCACCCAGCCGCTCGCTCACTCCCCCCCGGTGGGGTGGGGGAGAGAATCGGAAGGGTAAAAGTGAGAAAACTCGTGGGTTGAGATAAAGACAGTTTAACAGGGAAAGCAAAAGCCATGCACGCAAGCAAAGCAAAACAAGGGATTCGTTCACTCCGTCCCATGGGCAGGCAGGTGTTCAGCCATCTCCAGGAGGGCAGGGCTCCATCACGCGTAACGGTGACTTGGGAAGACAAACACCATCACTCCAAACGTCACCCCCTTCCTTCTTCTTCCCCCAGCTTTATATGCCGAGCATGACGCCATGGGGTGTGGGATATCCCTTGGGTCAGTCGGGGTCAGCTGTCCTGGCCGTGTCCCCTCCCAACTTCTTGTGCACCCCCAGCCTGCTCGCTGGTGGGGTGGGGTGAGAGGCAGAAAAGGCCTTGACTCTGTGTCAGCACTGCTCAGCAGTAACGAAAACATCCCTGTGTTATCAGCACTGTTTCCGCACAAATCCAAAACACAGCCCCCATCCTAGCTACTGTGAAGAAAATTCACTCTATCCCAGCCAAAACCAGCACAATTACATAGTTCTCTACTGAGTGAAACATCTGTTTGCTCTATGTCCCAGTCTGCTCCCTGACATGGTGTCAGGTTTTGTTGTTCTAGTGTAACTCCAGTAGTAGACGAAGAAGGAGGAACAACTGGCTTTTTTTAAGTTTCTTAGTGTAAAACTTTTTTAACTTGGGCACTTCTGGCTCTTCAGTGCTTTCTGGATAATCTTGTTTCACATGCTCTCCAACTCAGGTAAGTATCTATCCAGGTTACAGATGAGGAAGTGAAGCACCGGGAGACCAACAGCCAATTTGTCATGACTTGAAAAACCCGACTTCCAGTTCTCTGCTCTTCCTGTGATATACTACTTCTCCACTGAACTTCTTGGGACTTAATCTGGTTACATCTGTAGCATGACCGGCACTAGAGATGGAGCCAAAGGAGTCTTTCCGTTTCCTTTTCAATGATGCATGGAATATTAAGAAAGTCTGTTGCTACATGGGCTTTGCCCAGTAAGTTCTGATATTAAAACTGATAAAGAAAGTGTATTCTTTTTCATATATATTTGTTATGTTTTCTGACACCTTTTATGGTAGTGAAAGGTTTATTGTGGGGCCTTTTTTAATTTTTGGTGTCCTGGTAAATAATATGTAAAGTTGTTTACGTTTTGGGATGGTGGAAGTATAGCCTACTCTAGCAGTGATAGATGGAAATACAGACCCTGTATATTGTATACTTCTGGAGTAAGATACAATTCCCTGCAGGTAATGGAGGAAGATCTAACTCTGAATCAGGAAGACCGTATCAGTTTTTAAACTGAAAATACAGTTTACTGGCTTAGTATGAGAGAGACAGTGACTACCATTGTATTTATCAGTTATTCCTAAATGCGTAATGACATATGTCTGAAAACTCAAAAGTGAAATATTGCTTCCTGTTTTATCATAATAATGTGGTTCTTGGCTACTTCCAAGTCTCAAATTTTTAGAGTAGCATTCAGGAAATAAGGTACGAAGCCCTGCTGTACCTCGCTGTCTGGATGCACTTCTGTTTAGAAACAAGAAATGTGCTATATTAACTGAGGACACTTGTATGGCTGGGAGGAGCAGAAAGCATTCATGACTTGATCTGGTTTCCCAACAGCGTTGTGGATTCTACAGAAAATTCCTCAAGTATTAGTAGTGTTTTTCCACAGGTTTCTTTCTTAACACTTACGCTTGTCTTTGATTATCTCTAAGATAAGGTCGTGGGCTTGGGAGCTATTGAAGGAAACTGCTTGCTCTGCATGAAGTTTAAATGCAGCACCACCTGCTCAGAATACACTGACCCACACGGGAACGTTCAGCAGCATGAAGACCATTGTATGATAGCCTTGGAAAAGTAAATACACAAACGGTCCCTCGTTTTGATGCCTGTGGCTTTCTGTGTTCCCTAATAAATATTTAACAGACACAAGTCTGATCACTGGCATTTTTGTGTAAGGCTGAGCTGTGATATGTCACTTTTTTGGTGTGAAACGTATTCCAATAGAAATAGCAAAACACTTAAAATAATGAGTATTTTTACATAAATTAACATATAAATTGGTTTAAGACAGCGTGATTGTATTGACACCAGAGAACAATTGTAGTGGATTAATGGGCTGCTTCTCCACAGATGGACAATTAAGTTTTGTCATCTTCTTGAGGAAGGTATTTAAGCTCCGTGTTTCGCTGAAGAACAGTCTTTCTTGATATGCAGTGTGCTTTGTCGGTGACTTCCTAGCATTACTGGCGACATTTTTAGGTGTCTTCTGATGTGGGTAAAATAGGCGCAGAATTTTGTAAAAATCCAAGCATCTAGTGAATGCTTTTGAGAGAACTGGATGGCCTTGCCTTCACATCGGGGGTGTGCAGGATTTTTCATGCTTATGCTCTGTTATAAATTTAGAGTACAGTTTTCGTACATGTCAGTGTATTATTTATACATATAAAATAGTTTGTGTATTTATGCATTTGTTTGGGACAAATTATTTTACTAATCACTTTACAAGCTAAAAGGAGCTTACATTGTAGAGAGATATATAACTTAAAATATCTTTGTTAGTTACAAACCATATCTAAAGGAGTTCTGTGTTTTCTCACTTTTGCACCCAGATACTGTTAAAGTAGCACAATTCCAGGGTGGAAGGTGAGATGTTGTTTACTTCTGTAACAGTTTTTGTTAGTTTGCTTCTGGGTATTCCAAGGACAGTAACTAGGTTGAGATTGCCACTTTGTTTTCTGTGTCGTTCCTTCTTTTCTTCTGTCTGTTGTTTAAGCAGCTGTTCCTGCCTTTCCATTTAAAATACATAGATGCAGTACAACTACTGGATGAAGATACTTCTGAGCAAAGCTTAGGATCTATGTGATGACCTTCAATCACAGTGTGACTGGTTTTGGGGTTTGGTTTTTTGTTTGGTTTGGGGTTTTTTTGTTTTATATCCAGTCCATCCCTCTGGATGGTAAGAACGCTGTGAACAGGGATGCTGCCTTTCTGGCTGAGGTGGTAAGCCACCTTTACTGATTACATGCTTTCTGTGGGTTTTATAATGGTGACGTGCCACGAGTGAGATGCATCGTGTGGCAACAGCTGGTGTTGAACTGTCAAAGATGCATTTCTTGCATTTTTCTTGATGTTTCTAAGCATCCCTAGTCTACTAAACTGGTTTTTGTTGCCGTCTTTCTCTCAGTACTCAAAACTAAAATGTTCTTGTGTTGCTTTGAAAGTTATGTTTACTGTGGCTATTTAATGTTCCCCTAAACCTTAGCTGCAGAGTAAAAACTAGTAGTCAGACCTCTATTCCTGTAGGTTTCAGTGGTAAGACTTGTTGAAGGAATTGTGCCTGGAAGGCTCTTTGAAATTAGAAGCTTTCCTGAAATGTCAGCTTGTAGTATGGGCTAAAACTTCGGAAGTTGGTTGTATAATTTTAAAGATAAAGGTTTGAATGTATGGATCAACTAAAAGAAACATTGAAAAGGTGTGTGGCCATGTTTAAAGTTGGATTGTCACTAAAAGACAACTCGGATCACTTCTGAAAACAGGATTTCTGTCAGAGAGCTCGTCTAGATTAATTATTCTACTCTCTTGGTAGATCTGCAGGTAGTGACTTTGGGCTTTTTTGAGCTTTGTGAAGCTTTGTGACTTAAGCTAGGCAACTTCTGTGTTCGTGTGAATTGCAAATCAGTGCTTCAATTAATTTTTTTCACAGGAGCTACTCGCATAAAAGGAGTCTATGCTTTTCATTTTCTGATCAGTGTCACGCCACGTTAGCACAGTCATCAGTCCCATCCATTCATCTCCTCACTGTGATAGGATAATGCAAGTATTTTGAATGTGTGAAAATACCATTTTAATTACTCCGAATTGCTTCATTTCCAGGGATCAAGGTGGTCGGACGTTGTGTGGTGTTATGAGAATTGGCTTGGTTGCAAAGGGCTTGCTGATAAAAGATGATATGGATCTGGAGCTGGTTCTCATGTGCAAAGAAAAACCCACAAAGACCTTGTTATGTATAGTTAAAGACAATCTCCCAGCTCAAATTCAGGTGAGTTAAATTTAGTGTAGTCCTTCTAACAATGGCTGATAGCACTGCACGGTGTACTTGGATAAAGGCTGGAATTTGTTCCAGTAAAAAAGACAAATGATACAGATTAAAGAAATATACTTTGGTTCTAGGGCGACATCTAGGTTGTGTGACATGTTTAATGTGGTGACGTGAAGTAGCTATTCACAAAATTTAACATCTTGCTCCTGTTGTTGCCTAATCCCTATTTGTGATGTCAGTTTTCCTATGGTGGCAGCTAACCTTTCTATTTGGTAACTAACCCAGCTGATTTTTGCTCTCTGGTCCAACCACTAACGTGAGCTAAATTGCAGTCCCAGAAATCTTCCCTGCTCGAGCATGTGAATCGGTCTGTATTGTTGTCCCCTGTCCCCCTGCCTGAACCTTAAGTTCTGCATTGCAGCTGCTTTGCTTCGCCTGGGCTGTTCCAAGATAAACGCCTCTGTACTTCTGAAGTGAGAACAAGTCACTTGAGGTGGTCACTCATTTTAGCTCATGTTAATCATGAGCTCATAACTCTTTTTATTTATGGCTATTTAATTCCGATGTTGGCATTCAGTAGGCAGCACTTGCAGCTAATATTGGTCTCTTGAAAGCAACTGGGGATAATACCTTTTTGACAGAGTTCTGAGTCTGAATAATCAATCCAGCTTCCAGACTGACATGCACTGTTGCTGAGAAACTGTGCCCTAAAGTATTGCACTGCAAGTGCCTCTCTCCACACCGTGTCCAAACTTGATCTGCTCTTCTCCTGATCTGCTTTTCTGCCTTGTGTTTCTTTCCACATAGACAGTATGTGTTTTACCATTCTTGACAGCTGTTTGTTCTCACTGTTCATTTGTTCACATAAAGGGCTTGTTTTAATGAGATAATGTGCCTGCAGATGTGGCCCTATCCATAGCTGAAAATGCTAAGGAACAGTTGAGTAGTAAAGAGTAAATTTTACTTGTTTGAAAATGATAGGGATGTGTCGAGTAGTAAAGAGTAAATTTTACTTGTTTGTAGTGAGGCGTGAGATGAGAAGGGTTGAAAGTGATAAGAAAAGTTAGCATATGCTTCAAAAAAAGTGAGAACGGCAGAACAGACGTTCTTAAAAGATGTGAAGACTGCAATAAATTCAAGGGACAAGTAGGTAAGATCCTATGGGGAAGCATTGTGAGGGGAAAGGAATACGGAAAACATGAGGTAAGAGGAATCTGACTCATGAAACAAGCTACATTAAAAGACAATGAGAGGTTCTGCAGATGCATCAGATACAGGAGGGAGAGGGAAGGTGTGGGCCCATTAGTGGTCAAAAAGAGCAAATGAGGTACAGAGATGTTAACAGCTTCTGCTGTGCTGCTTTGAAGCCTAGTAGTGAGCAGATGCTTAAACGCTTTCATCCCGACAGTAGAGGAGCTGGAGGAGTGCAGATTGCAACAAGGAGGGAAGTTAGAATACGTTAGCCATGTTCTAACCCTATGGTCTTGCTGAAACACAAACACAAGGAATAGCTTTAGGACTCTGAACCACCTGTGGTTATCTTTGCACTTCTGGAGGTTGAGAGAGGTCCCAAAGGACTACTGAAAGTCCTGCAGATACAGATCACCTGAGATACCTCTGACACAATGCATGTTAATGGAACAAATTGTAAAGCAGTTTGTAGCGTTATCTGCAAAAGAAATCCAAGCAAGAAATAAAAAGTTTAGTGAAAACAATTTAAAAAACACACGATTCATTGGGGTGCTGTCAAGAGAGGAAGGTCAGGTTTTCCAGGCATTGTCAGGGATCTCTCCCAGGGCTGGTATTAATGAATGAAGTGGGTGACAGTGGGATCTTGCGTCCAGTTTCCAGTGCTGTGTGGCAAGGGAGTGAGACAGATGGACAGACAAGTTGGAGAAAATCAGATGAGTGAGAATGAGCACCTAGAAAACCACGTGATTAAAATTACCTGGTTTTGAAAAAGTCAAGACCGAATGCAGGTGTAAGTTCTAAGACATTAATGGTTATTTGTAAAGGGACAGTGATTCGGTATCTCACATGGCTACCAAAGGTAGGATGAGAAGTAATTGGAACTGTAGCAAGGGGCAATTTTGTTGCAAAATAGGTTGTCTAAATTATGTGTCTAAGAATCAGAACAGACTCTTTGGAGAGGTGGTGAAATCTGTTGCTGGGGCATCTGAAGAATATCTTAGGGTTGGTAAGAGATGGCCAAGGTATATTTGGTCATACTTCACAGCAGGTACATGGACTAGGCGAGCTGGTGCGGCTCCTGCACTGGAATCTTGTCATCCGTTTGCACTGACAGTTATGGCTGTGTTCGTCATACTGCATATGAGAGCTTTCACATTTAGAGGCAGCGTTACCGGAGAAGTGTGTACTTATTAAGAACAAAAGTTGCTGGTGGTATTTTGCACACTTCTGTCTTCGTTGTAAAAAAAGAAAAAGAAAAAAAAAAAGTAGTGATAATATAGTGGGGCTACTTAGTATTCTCATTAAACTTGCTGCAGACCTTTTTTCTTAACGCGTGTTACTGGGGGTTTTCTGTTTGTTTTTAATGAGGGAGGCAAGGCCTTATTTATTATTGCAATGTCTTGTAGGCCTCTCATTATTTAAGAGGCATATGCACATACAGAGATTCTGTAGTTTTTCAGTTGATTAGGAGATTCTTGAAATCTTTCTTGGTGACTTTCAGAAACTTACAGAAGAGAAGTATCTCGTGGAGGAGCATGTAAATGAGGCAGCTATTCTTATTCGTAACACAAAGGAGCCCAAGCTAACTTTGAAGGTGATACTTACATCCCCTCTCATTCGAGATGAAGCAGAGAAGAAGGAAGGAGGTACACAGAGCGTTTTAACTTGTTTTTAAGACTGTTCTATCTAAATGCCCTGACTGTGCAGCACAGGGTTAATTGGGAAGTAGGTTTTTAATTGTGCATCATGTACTAACTAGACCGGCTGTTGCCACAATAGGTTACATTATTTGTGCCTTAAAAAGACAAGTCACTTAACTGTGCGTATTTACATGAAAATTTTCATTTGCAAGCAATATTGCTACAGTGTTAACTTTGACATACTATGAGACCTTAGTTCTCCTTTCTTTCAGACTTGCTAGTTAATTCTTGAGCTCCCCAGCGCTGCACAGTCTTGTTTTCAAATTAAGTCAGTCAAGTGGGATTGGTTCGTAGTATCTTGAAAACCTCATAAAATTGTTCCTCTTCTTACATTAAAAAAATCTCTCCTGCAAAGCTCGCAGGTATGTCGTCCTGGCCCTCAATTTTTATTAATTGATGATACATATGTGTATGTTTCTAGCTTTAAGAATTTCCTAACTGGGATACAGTTGAAGTTACAGTGCTACAATACAGCACTCCTGCTTCTGAATTGAACATTGTACCTCATGTCCTTAGAGCAAAATAGATATAGAAAACTGTAACTTAGTTTGTTTCTGTTCCTTCTCCCTAACTGCACGATGTCCATTATAGTTTATGCCCCTTGCTAAAGGAATGTTGACTGGTAGTATCAATGAGGTTGGAAAGAAAACAAGAGAAATAGAGAAGAGCAAACGTAGCCATACTTTGTTTTATTTTAAAAATCTTGTCAGTAATTTCTGCTTCCGCTTCCCAAACCTATCCCTAGAAACTTTGCCACTGGATGATGTCAGACCTTTGACCAACTGGCCACTCTCTGTCATGACAACTGAGGCAGCTGGGCCCATGTGGGCTAGGGAACTCCCTGTCGCTCTTTTCCCTTTTCTAGACTTGCCACAAGTCCTTTGCTTCCTCCCTTCTCCCACCTCAAATACCGACACAATGAGAAACGTTGGTCAGTTTCTCTTCGTTTTTGTTTGAGGCAATGGCAGGAAGGATCCCTTTTCAAATGAAACGTAACACTTTGGCAGCAGTTGGATGCAGAAAAATCTTACAAAACAGATGAATGGCAAAGATTTCCTAATTGCAATGTCTGTTTATTCTCAAATTAGTAACCATGCTCTTTTGCAAGACCATTAAAAATAAATTGCGTATTACTTCAGTTGTTCTTCAACTTCCCATAAGATGCTGAGATCAGCCCTGTAGTCGTTGCAGCTGATACATGTTTGTGAGAAAGAGCACAAAGTGCAGAACAGATTTCAATGGTAAAGGATTTGTAAGATTCTCACAAGGGGATACACAGCCTTTTGCACAAAGGCTTCCGTCCAAGTATTTTCTTGCAAAAAGTGATGCCGTTGTGGCAGTAAACTCTAGGGACTCCTGAGTTCATCTCAAACTGAATGAGGATTTGAATATTCATGCTTTCCTATATTTAAACTGTAGGTGTTCTATTTTGTTTTCAGTATCTTAAAATATTTTCAAAATTCTGTACTAATTTTTTTAAAATTTAAAATGGTTTTACTACCTCTCTTAGAGTGGTGTTATGCTATCATTTCTGAACAGCCCATGAGGATAGTTAATAGGGTAATGGATCTTGTTTTAAAGCCCAGGTTCTTTGACATTGATTCATCACAAGTGAACAGAGACATTTATCATATTACTTTTCAAAGGTATGTGAAACTTTATGCGGATGTCGCTAAGTAAATTGAAAGCCGGGAGGGATACTTTTTTCCATAATACTTCCAACCATATTTAGGTCACTTTCACTTAGATTCAGACCAAAAAAGTTTCATATCCAGTATCAAGGGAAAATACTCAGAGAAACTGTCAGGTGAAAATACCTTCATTCCCAAAGAGAGTACTGCCATATTATTTCAACACTCCTGAATAGCGCCAACCAAATGTAAATATACTTTCTGTGCAGTTTTAAAAACTGTTTTGAGTTTATTCCATGCATCCTTTTGAATGAAGGGAGCTCAAAATGCTTGTCAACTTGCCTTTCATCTTACATGTAAGATGGGCCATTGGGTTCCAGGTGCTGCCGCTGGTTTGCCCGGGAGCCGCTGGCCCCGGAGCCGCTCCCAGGGAGCAGCGGCCGCGCGAAACTGACCAAGGTTTCAGCGTTCGGTGTGATTAGCACTAATCTGTCCTCTAACCAAACCGGCAAGGTTAGGCGCAATGGACCTCGTTATCAGTGCTCCCATTTGTTCTGTAGGAATGCTGTGTGTGCCTTCATGCCCTGATGTCAGAATGTACTGAAAAACATTCCTGGATTTCTCTTCAGTCCCCACCTCTTTGGAAAAGTGTTCATGTTTAAGATGTGGTGTTTGTCCTATTTGTTTTTGCTGCTTGTTAGCAAAAATAAATAGTGGACCAGTGTGTGTGCGCATTTCAATGTTTCTCACAAGTGGTTCTCCATAAAGCTCTGCTTTCTCATGTCGAGTTGAGAAGTCAAGCATCTAAAATTCCTGCATTTTGCATCAGTTTAAAATTTAAACTTCTTAACAAACTGAATTTTTATTCATAGCATGAAATATAAATTGGGCTTTCCAGACCAGAACCTTGTAGCTTGCAAATCAGTTGTTGCTACTGAGCATTGTTACAAGCTTATGTAATGGTAAACAAGTTCATTTACCAGAGTGGGGCTGAAATCAACCTTGCTCCTTGAGCAACTACTGCCTAAACGGTCTGCCTCTGCTGCCGCCTTTGCTGGGCAGGCGCAGCCAGTGATGCTCCAAAGGTGCCCAGTGCCTTTGAAGGGGCCACAAGCCACAGATTTACCTTGCCTGTACGGACAAGACAATGCTCCTTGTATGGCTGGCTGCTGATGAATGAAGTTGGCAGCTACTGTGTGAAGAGAAAACATACAACAAGTGGAGAGAGAATTACTGAAGGATTGGTTCTGTGTTGCATAGTGGGAGCTGGTGTCAGGGCTTTACTATTAACTGTTTATTAAACTCCTTGTATCATTGCCCTTGTTAAAACTACAAGAAAAAAAGTAAAGCTTTGCAATCACATCTGAAAATTTTGATTGGGTCTCACTTTCCTGACTGGCAGAGCATGAAGAAACATGCCATTCTCCTGAGGGTGTCGAAAGGGAGCCTACTGCAAGCCGCTCGCCCTCTTCACTGCCTGTTCTCTTCATCTTTCTGTTTAATAGAATCTTGCACCCAAAAGTTGGCTGACTGCAACATCTGCGAAAAGTGCTCGGGACACTAGCGCTGAATTTGCGATTGTCAAAATCCTCCAAGATATTTGTAATTTATACCTTTGGAAATAGCCTTAATCCTGTAGGAAAAAGTATGATTCTAACTTGTTGAAACAAATTAAATCTTACAAGGTTTTTCATTCACCTGAATGACAGATGACACATATTCTGTTTATGTTTTGTAAAAGGAAAAATTAATTTACTTGTCAATAGCTGCAACACACTTTAGGAAAGCCTTGTACAATACTAAGTAAAAGTCCCTAGGCAATTAAAGATCCAGTTCATTGCAAAAAATTAATGATTTTGCAATCAGTCACCTTTGCCATTTCTAACATTTTAAAATAAGATTTTGATCATTCATTGACAGTAGTTGTTTTATACAGTACATGAGCTTTAAGCAGATGTTTATATTGTCCATAATGAAGTTTTCTTACAGAATTACATAGATGTACATTTAGTAATTGTGTGCCACAAAACATTACTCCTGAAAATAATGAAACTGCAAAGGAAATTTAGAAGCAAATCTTGTGTTCCAAAGTGACCTTTTGTGCTCATAGAAATCCAGTGCTTTGAGACTTTGCAGCTTTTATTTGGAAAACAGGCGAGAGGAGTGATTAATCCTAATACTGTAATACTGTTGGTCAGGGCAATAAGAAACAATGCAAATATCTGCTGCGAAGTTCATTGGGGTTTGAAAATAAGCTTATAGCACTTAAGTCTTCTGCTGGCAGCAGAGCCAGCAGGTGTGAACTGCAGCTATGAACAGTCAGACAAGATACCTGGTTCTGTTCAGTTTTACACTGGGGTGTTGGTTTGTTTTTTTTTTTTGGCTTTGGGCTCTTTTATCCATCATAACAATGTGCTTTTACCAGAGTAACCTTCCCGTTGAATGGCATAGGAGGTGAAGCAATTTTAACGTTAAAGATGCAACTGCACATGCATCCAGTACTATCCAAAGTAACCTACGAAAATGTACTTTGAGATGTTACTAATAGATTGTACTACAAACTGATGGTACTTTTTTCTCCTAACTTGTCCTCATATTTTAAATGTCCTGCTGGATTTTGCTTATCTAGCATAGTCTTCAATTTGGAATGGATATTGTATTTCATTCAGACCTGCGTAGGTCTCTCAAGACCTGAAGAATTGACCATTATGAATAATGAAAAGACTATGTTTTCCAAATTATTTATTTTGAAATAAAGAATAATCGTGTATTCATAGGAAAATAACATAGTCAAGGTTTTAGTTGAGCCATGGATTCATTTAGTTCTTCCAGTATGTTCTTCTCATGTCAGCTAAAAACTAAAATCTTTTTAACCTGATTTCACAGATACGCAAAATCTGTCATTTGTACAGAGTTTCCAGAGAATCTGGATGCAAATAACTCCTTAGGATAAAAAAAAAAAAATCAGGGAAGAAAGCACTGATGCATAATGTCCCTCAATATAGAATCGGATTTGACTGCTAAAAGCAGTTTGTTGCATGCTGGATAAAAAAGAGAAAGGGGAAAAAAAAAAAAGGAAAAAAGTGTAAACCTGCACAGCAGATATCAGTGTCTTGTCTCTCAAATCCTTCTTTGAATTTCCTCTGATTTCAGTTGCTGTTGGGAAGAGAAGATTTTTACAAGAGGGGACCACCTCTCTAATCCGTTAATAATCTGGAAGTTACCAAACTTACTTCTTTCATGTGTTCTGGTTATATGAAAGACTAATCAAACAGTAAAGTTTCTTACTAGCATTTCTTGTATATTTCTTTCACTGAATTGTATTGGCTAGTACTGTTCATGCAATAATATTTCAACTATAGTCAATGTTTTTCTTTGGAATTCTCAACAATTGCATGGATGTAACTTCACTTTCTACCTATTACAATTTTTTTTATACCCTCTCCAAGAATATCTTCCTCGTGTCAAAAGAAGCTTGTCTCTCTGAAATTCTGTGCCACTTTTGTGGAATAAAAGTCACAAAGAAGGGAAAGAAGGGGGAGGGGAAAGCCAAATACAACCCAACAAAAAAAGTGCTATGTAGCTATTTTCTGCCCTGAAATGTGTTCTACATTTTTAATAAGATCCCAGATTGTCTGTAGCAGTGGCCATCTTTATTATTACTGTTATTTTACAAGGAGTGAATGCCTTTGCTTCTGTTGCACACGTGCACATTTACTACCTTTAATGGCTTGTTTAAATTAAATAACACAGTGCACTTAAATTCTGGGAGTCTTATTATCTCATTGAGATGCTGCCGCTCTTTTTGTATTGTGACAGAAACCCCTTGGTCAAATTGTATCTGTCTCTTTTTATCCCATTTTTACCAGTAGATAATGTTGCGATGAAAGATCCTCCGGACTTATTGGACAGGCAGAAATGCCTGGAGGCCTTGGCGTCTCTGCGGCACGCCAAATGGTTTCAGGTTGGCTATTTGTTCTTACCTTGTTGTTATTGTAGCCTTACGAGGTTTAATTTGAGACAGTTTTAATTTTAATGCCTCTTTAATTTCTGACTAGTCCCTAATAGAGCAAAGGTGTAGAATTCCGAATTCAGTGCTGTACTGTGCAAGGGCAAACGTGACAGGTAGACAGCCAACTGGTCTAGAGTTGTCATGAGGCTACAAAAGCAATCTTGACATTTTGCTTCCTTTTTTACATGTGACTCTAAATTGAAATATTTTACTTTTATATAACTTTTTATTTTGCATGAAGCTGATTAAGTGTTAAGTAATAATAATTAAAAAAATCTATCCCAGGACTCTGTGCATTTAAAAAGAAAAGCAAAATTGAAGGCCAGGTTTTTGCAGGTGTATTGGAATCATTTTGTTTGTTTTAGGCCAGGGCAAATGGACTAAAATCATGTGTAATTGTCCTTCGTATTCTGCGGGATTTGTGCAACAGAGTCCCCACATGGGCACCACTGAAAGGATGGGTAAGTACAGAAAGAGTTGAAGGCCACAAGGTCAGGTCTCAGATCTCCTGAGAATTGTAGCAGTGTCTGCATTGGAGAAAATGGTGCATTGTATGAAACTCCTCCTTAAACCCCCCTTCCTTCTACTCCCCACTAACTGTTACCCCTGTGTAGAAAAGTGCTTGTAGGAAGTACAGATACCATAGAAAGAGACGTAATGTTTTGGGCCTTGCACATCCTCAAGGATTTGCAATAGAATCCCGCTTGTTTCCTCCAAGTTTAGCTTTTCAAAAATATTCTACTACCGTGACAGTGCTGCTCCTACCAGAGGATACCATTTCACGTTAGCAGGTTTGGGGAGGGCCAAATGCTCTGCATATCCAGAAAGGAACACTTTGTAAGTCAGTGGAGGCAGTGCTTTCTCTCACGTTGAACTGATAACCCTTTGAGGGGAACAGAATACTCACGTGACTTGGCTTTAGAAGGCTCCTTTTAGACTTCCTGGGCAGTTAATGGAGAGCAGTTGGTTTCCTCAGAAGGTGACTCAGAGCAGGGAACATATACATGTGCCGTGAACTGTCCTCTGGGATGGATGTCTCTGTCAGTTAGACCTGTAGTGGATTAAAAATGAAGTAAGCTGATGTGAATATTCTTACCCTCTACCCCTCCATATTTAACTGCAGTTACAGTTACCCTTGTGTCCATACTAATCGTAATTTAATGTCTTCTAGCCACTCGAGCTTATATGTGAAAAATCTATAGGTACTTGTAATAGACCTTTGGGCGCTGGGGAAGCATTGCGACGAGTGATGGAGTGTTTGGCATCTGGAATTCTGCTTCCCGGTAAGGGGCCAAATTAACTTCAGGAACACAAAAGGTTGATCAGACAGCCTTAACATTTTGCTGTTGCTGTACAATTAGATGAAAAATGCCTGCCTTGAGCTCCTAACAGGCAGTGGAGCTAAATTAATGGTTTCTTGTTTGAAATGAAAAGGAAAAAAAAAAAGGAAGTTGCATGGCTGTAACTGTTTGAGTACTTCCAATGCAGTAGAAGTTAATAGGGAACGTTAGGTTTGTTCATAAATTAACTGCTATCTCATTAAGAGGTGGCAAACAAATGAATAGACTTAAGGACCATGTTTTCCATAGACTCATCGAAATCTACATATCTATCCAAATTATTTGGGTTTCTTTTTAAACTTTCTGCTTTTAGTTCACGCTGTTACACATGCGCAGTGTTAACCCTGGTAAGTTCTGTGGCCATTGCTGCAAGGGAGTAAAATCTAGGGGTTAGCTTGCTTTGTACGATGTTTGAATCCCTTACTGGAAAAGGTGCGCTTCCCACTCTGCTGAAGACTGAGACTAGCTGTTGCAGTATCCATTTTCATATTGCTTCTCGTTTACTATCAATAATCTGCTTTGCCTCTTTTCCTCCTAGGAGGCCCTGGTCTGCATGACCCCTGTGAACGGGAGCCAACAGATGCTTTGTCTTATATGACAGTTCAGCAAAAAGAAGCCATTACGCACAGTGCTCAGGTAGAAAACTCGTACATCTGAGGAGCTAGATACTATAACAGTGAAGATTTCAGTCCATTAATACAATTTACTCTCTGCCAGGATAGCTTATTTTAATGGCAGTCCTGACAGCTCTTCCGGTGTGCTACACTGGGAAGATTAAATGATAGTTCATGCGTGCAAGAGTTAAATGTGTATGAAATCTAATCCTTACAAAAGGCAGTCTAATGTCTGTGCACCACTTGCATCCCACCTCAAGTGCTTATGGCACAGAGCCCTTGAGTAGGCTCTCTGTCAATGTGCCCTGCACTTTGTGTTACAGAAATTAATGAGTTTTAAATTTTTAGACATTAGCATTTTCTATAGCTATCATAGAATATAGCTGTAGAAGCTTTCTTCTCATAGAAGAAGTGGTTCAGTGTCTACAAACTTATTTAGAAACTTAAATAACCAAGGTAAAGTAGTGCTGTGATGTAACTTACGTTTCTACTGTCACCTTATAGCATGCCCTCAGATTATCAGCGTTTGGTCAGATCTATAAGGTTTTGGAAATGGATCCCCTCCCATCAAATAAGTCATTTCAGAAATATTCCTGGTCAGTAACTGACAAAGAAGGTAGGTATTGTTTGCTCCAACAATCACTAATTGGGCAATAAACTAGGGGTTAATTTGGAATGGGTGAAATTCCTGAATTATACGCTGTGAATGCAAAGTAAAGGCTTTTCTTTGTGTTAAATGTGTGGTTTGGTTTTTGTTTTGTGGGTTTTTTTTATTATTATTTCATTGCTAGGAGAAAATCTGGAAGTTCTGTTCTCTAGAAGTACCAACAGAGGAGCAGCAGTACAGCTAGAATATAGCCGATGATTTTCTTTAAGCACAAAGTCCTTTGGGGTCTGAAGAGTAAAAGTAGTGTTTATGATTTTTATGCTGGGGAAGGAGAGACTGTAGACTGGTCAAAAAGCATGTAACGAGTGTCTATAATAAGAATTACTCAAGAATTCTTCCTAGAAAACAATATGTGTATAATAAAAATAAACTTCCATGTATATTTTTTGTAAAAAACAATACTATTGGAGTTCTTGCCTTAGACTAACTGTAAAAAGCAACACTGCAGAATTACACTACTTATATCACACATGATATTGGAAACAGACATCTTGCATGGCATGGTACAGTGAGTAATAAGCTAATATTGGCTTACGTGTAGCAATAAGAAAGCTCGGACTGATGGTTGAGTTCTTTTCATTATAAACATGTAGGGAACAGTACGAGACTCATCAGACTCCTGCTGTGGAATTTTGTTTTTCTAATAGCATATCCATATTACAAAGAAATTTATACCCTAGGTACAGGCTCATCTGCTCTTAAGAGACCATTTGAAGATAGTGTTGGGGATGATAAAGATCCAAATAAAAAGATGAAGCGTAATCTGAGGAAAAGTAAGTGCAATACTTCTCCATTCTGTTTTCAAAGATCTATTGCACGGTGGGAGCTGGTTTAAGAGCTTCTCTGTGTTGGTGTGGAATAACGTGAAAAAGTCTTTGGAACAAAAAATGTTGTCTCTATCACCCCACATTCAGAATGTCAAACCCATCAAGTTACAGTAAAATTTAAGTTGCCCAAGCAGCAGAGGTATCTTACTGATAATGTCCCTGTACTGTGTTTTGCTTGGTTTGTTGGTTCTCCCCCACCCCACCCCCCCCAATACTGCAGTGACTTTGCTGTGTGAAGATTTGCCTTTTTGCTTTCCTCCCCTTCTTGAGCTAGTTGTGGTCTCTCAAGACCTCCCACAAGAAAAATAAAATGCTTAATCTACAAAACATTGACATTGCATATATGCACAGACTAGAAGTCTCTCAGCATTGCTGGGATCCAGTCAGTTCTGGGGGCTATTTTCATTGTGCTACTTTGGTGCCAGTTCTAGATCTGGTTCCTCACTACCTATAAAACTTGTTACTCCTTTTATAGCAGCCAGGAGGAATATAGCTAGCTGCAAAAGAATTGTGTTAACAATATTTAAAAATGGGTAATTATAGTTGTTACCCAAAAGTAGAATGGCTTATTAATGACTTAACAGTGTAACGGCTAGCCTCAACCTCTGAGAGGCTGAGGGGTTGTTCTGCTCCTTTATACAGACAGAAGGCACTGAAATGCAAACTGTTTCATTTTTCTGTTCATCTTGTTTTGTTCATTTTCCCTTCCCCCACCCCCACCCCCCTTCCTACTATCTTGTACTAGTACTAGATAGTAAAGCAATAGATCTCATGAATGCTCTGATGAGGCTGAACCAAATCAGGCCAGGGCTTCAGTATAAGCTGCTGTCACAGTCTGGTCCAGTCCATGCCCCAGTCTTCACAATGTCTGTAGATGTTGATGGTACGACATATGAAGCATCAGGACCTTCTAAGAAAACAGCCAAGCTCCATGTGGCAGTGAAGGTAAGGCAGCCTGAAGTAATCTGCTAACCCCACATCTTGGAACATAGAGTATGAAATATGGTTAGAACTAGTAATATGCAACCTCAAAATTAAGAATAATTTGGATGAAGCTGAGCTACTACCTATGTACTCTAAACACAGCTGGGCATGGTTCAAAGAGCATCACTGGTTTTATATTAGCGGAGGGGAGGGAGAACTTCCCAGGGCTCTGCAGGTCAGCTCATGTGACAATGGACTGAATGTGGTGTTTAAGTGCTGGACTGGAGGGGTTCAGTTTTGTTCTGTTCTACTCCTTCCTCCTGTTGGTTTGAGAACAGCATGTTGGTGGCTCCCTCTTTCTCCCCTTCATTGTGTCCATTCCTGGGTTGTGAGCTCATGGAAACATGGAGTTGTTTCCCGTCTTCAGTGTCTGAAGAGTACCTTTGTGCACTGGGATAAACAGTGTACATAAATGATTGGTCTCCAGTCAATTTTTCAGTAAGAGACTAGTATCATTCCGGTACTAGTCAACCTACTGTTGCTTCTTGTAGGTGATCTACATGACAGAGCTTAGGTCTGTAAAGCAGTGATAGACTGGAACGCCCAGCATGAACATCCTTGTCATATTGCATGAGGACAGTTCAGACTGTTAAAGCAGACCGAGCCTGCTGGGTTTCTGGGAAGAAACGAAAGTTTCCTCCGGACAATTCATGTGAAAGAGAACCTCTTTTAATAGAACTGCACTTATGATAGAACAAGCCCATCTGTCATTCTGTGCTTCATTTTGTTTTGAACAAGAATTTCCTTTTTAGAAGCTTCATCTGGCAACTTCTTGCTTTCCTTTGATTTCAGTTTTGAAAATCCCATTGTCCCATGTGCTTTCAAGTTCAAAGTGTCCAGAAGTATCTGAGGGAATGTGCTGTTCCTCCAGGAAAAGTACCTCTCTGCATGTGTGTCCTTCCAGACCTTCTGCCTCATTCTTTTATTTTGCCTCCCTCCCTGCAGTTGTTTTTAAAAAAAAACAAAACAAAACAAAACAAAAAAAACTTGTCCTGAAAAGCTGCGACTTCTCTGCCCTTGAACCTCTCTGTGTCAGCCAGATCTGTGCTGGTGCCTACCCAGCTCTGCTTTCTCTAAATTTACACATATACAACTCCTGGGCTACACTTCAAAACATCCATGATTCAAGCCAAGAGGAAATGGGTGGTGTGGTAGAGACTAGCTTTTTTTTTTTCCTTTCTTTTTTTTCCTAGCAGATCCAGGCCCTGCTTTCCCAGACTTTTAAGAGGGAATAATGTGACCATTTCAGTTTCTAGATCTGACCTTTTTCAAATTTAGAAGTCTTGCAAATGCAGCCAAATGTACCACGATGGTATGGGAGCTAAGCCTGGAGTTACCCGTGCAGTTCTCAATTCAGTGTTGGAACATAGTGATTTTTGCAAACTTCGTTCTTGGGACTAAATTTTCAGCGGAGCTTCAGGTTCTTTTCAGATTCTTTTGGGCCTGTGTCTGGTACCCCTGTACAACTAGGTTAGGTAGCTGGTTAAAGGAGAGGCTGGCCTTGCTAGTGGAGGATGTTTTGAAGGACCTGATGAATAGTACCTTAATTGGTAAAATTTCATTTGCTATACAGCTGCTGGTTGTAAGCAGCATGGAGGAAGCTTGGAGGTTGTGACGTGGCTCACTAAGAGGTAGGCTACTGCAGGCAGACAGCTTGTTACTCTGCTAGCCGGGCATTCCTTCACCTCACATCTCGGTTCAGGAATTTGCTCCCTGTACACCTGCTTTGGAAGCATTTATCCTCTGGTGTTCCTGAAAGATGCAAGCAAGGGAGGCAGTATCAGTCCTCTAGCTTCAGGGACACGTTTTGTGTACTACTTGGGTACCTACCGGCTGTCACCTGCCGTTTCCTAGGAAACTCCAGAAGTACCATCTTGTAGAAGTATAATGTGTTAATTCTCGTAAGACACTTTGTCTTGTTTGCCCTACAGTCAATCTTTTGATCTGTCCGTATACACAGAGAGAGGGGGAAAATGGTGTGCAAAACAATCTCCTTATACTGTTAAGCAGTGTCATGCAGCGAATGCACTTCTGAATTTTAATCTATTATTTTACAAGGAATTCTGGAGATGATGGATGGTGCTTATGAGTAATTGCTATCTTTGAGACTAAAATTCTGTTTGTGTTGATTCCACTTTTGGAAACCTGGAACTATTTTCCCCATTGCTATTGTGTTTTTCTCCATTTCAACACAGGAGAAAACATATTTCTAAGCAATCTGCCTTTATTAAGTGCATGATGGACATTCTTTTGTGTTGTGATCAGCTTTGTATTTGTTTCTGTACTGCTACCTATTTTACAGTTCATTTCATGTGGCTTTGTTGTAGGTTTTACAAGCGATGGGGTATCCAACTGGTTTTGATGCAGATGTGGAGTGTACGAGTTCTGATGAAAAATCAGATACTGAAGGTAAAAATGAAACAATGTCTTCAATCTCAAGCAATAATACTGGAAATTCCACAGCTGACACCTCTGCTACCCTAGAGGTGAGTACTGCATTAAAAAGGTCAAGTGATGGAGAGGTGTGGAGTTTGTTTTTTTTCTTTTTCAGGGTTTTTTTTTCTCTTCTCCCAGAAGAGGATGGCATTTTAGTTAGGGTGGTGGGTGAGGAATTAAGAGAGCGTTTCCAGTCTCAGATCTGCCATAGGCTTTGTGTCACTGTGGACAAATGACTGATCTTTGAGCCTCCTTTCCGCAAGTTTAAGCTGGGGTAGCCATCTTGTCCTCATAAGACCATAAACTCTTTGAGACAGGTGTTGTCTCTTCTCGTTAGTTAATGTATGGTCTCACGACTGGGACAGCTCCATCTTGTTTGGTGCCTTTGGGGTCTAGTAATGCTCCGAAAATTTAGTCCCAAGAACAAAGTTTGCAAAAATCACTATGTTCTATTATGACTATTACAAAACAGAAATTGTGGCAATTGCAGGGGTATTTTATACTCAACAAACTGACCTGTTAATTTTCCTTTAAAATCGATAATATTTTATCACAAAAGTGGGTAATATTTTAAGATGACCAAGGTATTTCCCAAGCTGCATGACTTTGGGTTTCCATGTTTACGCTTTTGAGACACTTTACTTTCAAAGGGCAGGTCCTGGTACTAGGACTCCTGATCTTTATCCAAAATAAGAAGTTGCTCTGGAAAACATTGTTTTGATCCCTTAATATCTTTTTCTTCATTAGTGAGTAGTCATTTATATCTGTAGCTGAGTGCACTCTAATGGAGGCTGATATGCTGGTGCACTGAGATCTCAGCTTTACCTTCCTTGCTTTCCAAACACTTACAGATATTTCTGCTGAAACATGTGACCCGGGATACGAGACTTCTTCAGTCAGAGCTCAGTAGTGCCAGGACGTAATTAGATCGAGCAGCAGAGATGTGTGCAAGGTTGGGAAGGCTAATCTCTCCTTTCAGTGATAAAGCCTTCGATTTCAAGGAACTTGACACCGTGGCCTCAGCTTCAGCTTTGGATACTCTCAGGGTTGAAATTCCAAGTGCAGCTGGTGTAACGTTGAGTTTGTGTAGTCACCAGACCAGGCCACGAGGACAGTAGCTCTCACCAACAGAAATAAAGAGGGTGTGACTTCTTTTACAGTATTGTTTGTCCTCCTGCCGTTCTTTGGAGGAGAGACTTTACATCTGCTGTTCTAGCGTAGCATGTTATGCTGAAGCCGAGGCAGTGTTATCTTTGATACAGGTCTGTTCCTGGGAAGCCTGCCGAGGCCTGCATGTTGGGAAGAACAAGCAATTGCAGAGGCTTGACACAGTGATAATGCTGGCATTCTCTAAGTGGCTGGCCATGTGGCACTGTAAGCCACAATGCTGTAGATGTTTACCTGCCTTCTGAAGAGATAAAGGCTCTAAAGCAACACCATGAATGTCTCTCTAGGTAAGAACTCAAGGTCCTATACTCACAGCAAGTGGCAAAAACCCAGTGATGGAGCTCAATGAAAAAAGAAGAGGTCTGAAGTATGAGCTCATCTCTGAGACAGGTGGAAGCCATGACAAGCGCTTTGTGATGGAGGTGAGTGAAGCAGAGTTACAGAGTTAGTAGGTTTTATTAACAGTGCTTCAGTCTTTGGAGTTGCTTGCTGCTACAGTTCAGATTTTTCATATTTTGCTTTTTGCAATGCACATCTGTGGTGGTGATGTTTTCATGTTTTTGCATCTCTTATTGCTGCTGCGATGATTAGACTGGGGAAAGGAATGTCTTTTATGCTTTAGGAAAATAACAATGACAATTAAAACTGGATTCTGAGAGCCCCAGACTACATCATGTCTTGACATGAGGAGGAGGGGGGAAGTAGAAGATCCACAGCTTGACAAAAATATCTGACTTGAAAATTTGCAAACATACTTGGTAACCCCATGTTAGTGACCTGACTTGAATCTCCTGTTGCCAGCTTACCCAGGGGTATTTGGAATGACTGTAGCAGAGGGTAAACTCATTTGATTTCTTCATCTACTTGTGCTATCTCTGAAGTAGCACTGGGCTCTATAGTGGTATGAGGTAGCATCCCAGTTAAACAGTGTATGTATAGTGCAGGCAAAGATGCTGGTATGTAAGGCATTGATAAAGATGAGGGGAGCCTCAAAAGATTCCTAAAACCCCTGTTTCTTAGCGGTATCATTCAGGCGTTGAGAAGCTCAAGCATACTGGCCAAATTCAGTATCAAATAGATATACTGGTCCTCTTTGAATTGCACTTGTAGTTTCCAGATTCCTAATATCTGCAATAAATGGTTCACAGGATCACTTAGGTATTCTTTATCAGCTTCATAATCTAGAAGCAATAGAAATTTGTCACATAAGACACTGAGGATTTTTTTTTTTTACTGCTGAAGTTCTTTATGGGATGGCACATCATGATGAGTGGGTGCAGCATGGTATTCCCAAGGATAAATACTAGGCATAAACTCATGTCTCAATTTTCAGGTAGAAGTGGATGGGCAGAAGTTCAGAGGTGCAGGCCCAAACAAGAAAGTAGCAAAAGCAAGTGCTGCATTAGCAGCACTTGAAAAACTGTTTTCTGGGCCTAATGCAGCAAACAACAAGAAAAAGAAGATTCTTCCTCAGGTAAGAATTGTTACTTGCTTTTTGGACCGCCTGTTATCACAGCTCTGGGTTGTTTTATGATATGGGAAGTTCTACAGGAAGCAAGTGATTTCAGTCTCTTATTTTACGCACCCATGTAAGGTTTCTATTTTTATTCTTCTATAATAATAATTGTAGTATAACAGTATAATCTGATAGTTGGGACTGTATTGTGGGAAATATAGTAGAAAAGGAGGCACAAAGAAAGAGAGGTGCTGATTAGCTGGAGGAGATACAGTAAGGTCAGTGGATTGACCAGTGATGATGTGGAAGTCTCTTGTGTTTCAGGCCAGAGCCACAGTGCGCTCCTTCGTCATGTAAGGTGCATAGACTTAGGGGACAAGTCATTTGTATCCAGGTAAAGGCCTTAACTCTAGATTCTGGAGTAAGCTGAGATGTTTGCACCTTTTTTGCACCTTTTCAACTTTTCAGATGAGCCATTTTGTTTGGTGAGGAAGAGTTGTATAAAAAGCTTGGTCTTGTCCATTAGGCTTAGCAGCCACAATGATCTCTCAAATCTATTAAGATCAAGATTGAACAGAGCAGAAACTAATCAACAGTGTTCTTCTCCAGAGGACTACAGCCTGAACTTTGTGTCTCTTTTGTGCAAATACATTAGGATTAGGATTTTCGTGTCATTTCACGCTGGAGCAGAATGTATCATAAAATACACTCACAAAAGATAACAGTCAACTCTTATTTTTGTTTTTGTTCTGTAACTAGTAAGTCCCCTCCATTTCACTAAGACCTTTGGTTAGGAGTATTTCAGTTTCCATTACTGTGCTGAAAGTCCAGTAAATGAGAAAAACACTATCTCACAGATTAAAGTTCCACATGCAGTTAAGATATGAAAATGACCTCTGATTCAGGCGCTTCCTAAATTCTGATTTTTCTTTTTTTGTTGTTGTTCATGTGTTCTTTTTTCAGTAGGTCAATGATGGCAATAACTGCCAAACTTGTCTTTGAAATACCTGGATTTGCATGATTTTATTGTTTTCAGGGGGCAGTTGGGGCATCTAGTACAGCAAAGCTGTGCTCTGATGCACTGAGCAACACCAGCTTCTGTTAACTCCTTGCCATTCTTTCACTTGTAGGTGGTGACAATGGGAAAAGGAAGGTGGCATTCTAGTACAGTTAGGTTAAAGCAGTCCAATGTTGTCATGAGGTGGTTATTTGTCTTTGGGGTGAAATCCTGGCCCTGCTGAAGTTATATGGGTTCAGAATGGTGGGAGAAAAGCAAATACAATGTTGTAGACTGAGGAGAGGAAGCTGGTAAGGAGGTGGGAAAGACAGCAGTGAGGCACAGCAGAGAAAGGGTCAGAAGCCACCGGCGTTCGTTCATGCCCATGCGACCAAAACTGAGGTAAATAACGCAGTCTGGCCATGCCGACTGCCAGGTCTGTGTGACGTGAACATGCTCCTGGACTCATTGTGCACTGCAGTCAGTGACCTGGCAAGGGACTCGCTTGGTTTCTGTCAGTGAGATTCTTGAGGACAGTAGTTCTCCAGTCTGTATTCTGCCTTTAACAAGACTGGCGCATCAAGCATGTTTAAAGAGATTTTTAAAAGGTGATGACTTAATGCAGATGGCCTTCTATTTCCAGCAACACTTTCACTTTCTGAACTGCTATTTTTTATTACTCTGGGCAGACTAAAGGGGTTGTCAATACAGCTGTTTCTGCAGCAGTCCAGGCTGTTCGAGGCAGAGGACGAGGTGCTTTAACACGAGGGGCATTTGTTGGGGCAGCTGCTGCTACTGGATATATAACACCAGGTAAGGCACGACACTAATAGCTAATAGTTTAATTTTTGTCTGCTGGGGTGTTCTCTTCCATGTGTGTCAGTCACCTATGCATGTGATTTCTTCAGCTTTCATCATCTGAGATGAAGCAGAAGGGAGAATTCATGGGGCTTTAAATAAAGAGCTGAAAAACTGGCAGTACCTGTCCTTTATGAGTGTACAACTTGAAGCTTGGCATGCACAGAGCACAGTTATGGGCATAATGGCTTTCCCGGCTTTATTGTTTTATTGTATGTCTTCTTCATAGTTCACTGCCATGGCACAATTCCCAAAAACTCTCCTCCTAGCTAAGAACCTCCTGGATCAGGTGCCCTTTAGCATCAGGAGTGGCTTTCCCAAGAAACCCTTGTGGAGATTAAGTTGGCAGGTTCGGGAGTCACTGTGCTCCCAGAAACTTTCTATGTGAATTGCACATGTGAGCACAGCATCTGTTAGTAGCTTCTGTGGTGGCCAAAAAAACCCAAAAATAAAAATTTCCGTTCATACTCTGGCTGATGTTAATCTATCATCCCTGCTGCGTTGTTCTGATTAGCATAAACATCTTTTGAAATCTGAGGGCCTTCTGCTTCACGTTTATCCTCGGTGCTTACCGTACAGAGCAGGTGAGTTACTAGTCAGGATATCTCATTGCTGATTCCTTAGGGCAGATTTGTAACCATCAGAAGCAAAACTGTTCCAGCTTGAAGAGCTGAAGTGCTCAGCTACTGCTGGCTGGTACAAAATAGTGTCGGGTTTTTTGTTGTGTTGTTTTGTTTTTGAAATGACAGGCACATAGAGTGTAAGGTGTTAAAATGTAAATACGAGAAAATTTTAATGAAATGTTCACTTTCTCATTCCCCTTACTTTTCAAAGTACATTATTCTTTGTGACCCTCTACAACATGTCTGAGGCTTGCAGGTGACGTGAATGGAATCTAGACATTGTTTTTACTTGGAATAAGAACCACAAATTTGTAAGAATGAGATGCTGGAGATTCCTTAGTCAAAGCAAATCCAGTAGCTTCCAAAAAATAAAACTTATATTCCTCATGTTCAGGTCTTCAGATTACAGCATGAGCTCTAATTATACCCTTCAGCAGTTCGCACGTGCTAATAGCATAGCCCTGTTGTTTGGTAGACTTGCTTCCTGGCACAGTGAACAGCATGTCGTCTTCATTGTTCCTGTATGTTCATGTAATTATAAATATTAAAAACCAGTAATTCATTTTTAATGGCTGTTAACATTGGTTTTGGAACTGTCTTTCTGCCTGAGGAGTCATTTATGAGACACTTTAACCTGCCAGGGGCATGTTTCTTGCCAGCGTGGAATTACTCCAGAAATAAGTTTAATTTCCCAGTCGCTGTAGTTGTTGGCTAGTCGCAAGTAGCCAAGCTTTTATTGGCCTTGGCTGTCACAGATTCTTTCTCTTCATCCCCTATTCTTCTCAGAAATCTCTTGCTTTTTGTGATGGACGCAAGTGACCCCACCAGAAAAAAAACCTGTAAAGCCTTCATGAACTACTGAGATGGAGTAACCAAGATTGGTGTTACCACTCTTGCTTTTTGTCTCGCTCCAGAGTCATGCTTAGCTCTTTGGGGAAAAAAAAGATACTGTTCTCTGTTTGCCTCTAGGTGTTCAGATGTCCTTTGTGAAACTTTCTTTTGTCTGTTAGAAATGGCAGAGAAAGCAGAATTCACAGAAGCTTTACTGATGGTGATGTGGTATCTGCCACATCTAGCATTCCCCTCTTTATAATGGAAGTTGATGAAAATGACTGTTCTCTGCATTAGACCCTATTTGTATTTTAGGAAGAGCATAAGCAAATATGGGATGTCTGGATCATGCCAACTCCATGCTCTGACAGTACAGACTTGAGGGCTTCAGCTGAAAGAAAATGCTAAGGAAATGAAATACAGCCTCTTTGATGCTGAGGCTTAAGAAAGTCATTGGGTAGCTTGTTCTTCAAGCCACCGTGTAGAAAGATTTTAGTGTTTTCAGCAAGATTTGTATGTATTAGCATGAGTTTGTTTTTCATGTGGTCCTGCTTCATGTACCAGAAAGGGTCCCTCCCTGTGCATTGGTGTGCAAACACCGATTGTCTTCAGATACTGTAGGAAACAAAACCCATCCCTTATCTGTTTATATTGCAGGCTATGGAGCACCGTATGGGTATAGTACAGCTGCACCAGCTTACGGTATGTATAGCCCAATAATTAACAAATTAGAAATGATATGGAAACTGTTGTGGCAGTCCAAATGTGGCAGTCCAAGAAGAAATTCAAAGAGATTAAAGCTCTTAAACCATGACAACACCACTTTTATGCCATAACCTTGTGGTTCTTTTTTGGTTGGAGTAGCTTTTTTGCCTATGCTTTGCCTGATTTGTGGAAGGACTGCTTGTTCTAATTGCCTGTTCCCTTTCATACTGAAACTGAATTGAAGTAGTTTTTCTTACTTTTTACAGCCAATCTGTGCTCCATTCAAAGACTACCGAAGGGCCTATTTCAGCATCTCAGACCCATATTTATCTAAATGGCATTACAGTAACATTGGCGAAACATTTGTCCCCAAGTGTAAGTGGCTTGTGGACAAAGCTCCCTTAATGCTGTCAACTCTATGAAGGCTATGTGCATATACACCCCCCCCACCCCCCCGCAGGCTAAAACACTGCTGCTTGGGACGAGCAAAACGGGTTTTGTGTAGCTTATACCGTTAGCAATCAGACTGCAAGGAAGCTAGGACATGGTAATTTGCCACAATACTTTCTACTAAGAAACATAGTGGTATTAGGCTGGCAAAGCACTGGTTTCATGAAGACTGTAAAGTAAACTAATAATCAGAGAGCTATGACAGAAGGGTTTTTCTTAACTCAGCTTCTCCCTATCCACTGGCTTTTTTTACGCTAGACTAACAATGCATACATCTAACCGGCCCTTTTGGTTACTTTGAATGAGGTTTATGTGGCAATGGGAGCAAAGCAGTTTGGAGTCAGTGATATGTCCTGGCACACAAAAATCAAGCCCACCAGAACCAGTCCCACTATCCTCTCCTGTCACAGGGACTGGCTGAAAGCCTGCTACTCAAATGACAAGTCGAGTACTTTTCAAGGCCTGCAGTTTTTCATATGGGAAACTAAGCTTGCAATTTGTTCTTAATTTTCTAGCTTTTGTAGCATTTGCAATACTTGCAGTACTCTCGAATTTGTATAGCTTGGGCAACACCAACTCCCCTGATAGCATTATAAAAGTTAAAAATATTTTGAAATGTTGATTTCATTACTTTCTTTTAGAGGTGTGAGCTATAAGCAGCAGAGGAATGCTGCTGCTTTACTGAAAATGTTCACTTTGCCCAAGACCAGCTGGTCCTATTCCATACTCCTGCAGTGGAAAAGGGGAAGGAGAATGGGCCTGTGGGCTGCACTTACACTGTGGAATTCTCCCTTCAAAATGAAAGCAAACCTCTCTAGTTTTAGAACTCCTGCCCTATTGAGTGGCCAAGGGCTTTGACGGAACAGCAGCTGACAGCAGTGCTGTCCCACTGAGCGTGCTCTGTGTGTTGTCTTTTGTGTTGTATTACACAAGGAATAGCTACATGTTTTCTCAAGGAAAAATGAAAGCAATTTTGTTTAGGGCGTACTTCATGGTAATGGATTTTTAAAAAATCCCTTTGGTTCTTTCCAAGCGATAGTCACGGACTGTAACTACGATGAGTGGTATCTGCGTGTATGTATTTTTACAAGCAGGGACACATAGTGACGTAAGAGGAATCCTTTCCCTGCTGAAGAGAAGAATACAATTGTTACCAACTTTCCTTGCAGCTTTTCTTGCTTCTTTCATTCCTTCCTTCTGTTTTGTGTTTTTTCTCATGATGCCTATTTTGGGAGCTGGATTTTAATCACTTAGCTGTGTATATGTGACATATCACTGACTTCAAAGCATTGTGGAATTGAATGCTCCCATTTTTCACATAAAGAGTTTCTGTTTTTAATGTCTTATGATTGTGATGCGAAGTACTGGGATAATGCTTTTTGGCTGTAAGGTAAACATGTCTCCTTGCCTTTGTAAGCTGTTGCATGTTGGGAAACTTCACTTTGATCATCTGGTGCTCTGGAATACCTGCTGTTGCTGCTTTGTGATTTCTAAATGGATACATAGGTTAAATACTAGAATTTAAATAGGAAAGATTAAAAAAACAAACAAATATTTAATTGTGCAGAAGTTTGTGAGGCCACAAGAACTCTGTAATAATCATGAAATCAGGCAGATATTAATCTTTCCAGATTTGCCACTTCAATACAGGAGAGGAAATGCAGAATTTACTGTAGGTGCTTGATTTCTGGCTGACCTATCTGGATGCTTATCAAAACTGTTGAACAGTTTCCCTCCGAGTTCTTTTATGCACAGCCGTGCCTGTCTACAGTATCTGCAATTGTAACCGGCCTGTGAAATTAACTCAGAACATAGAATGAGATAAGAGATGAATTATCATAAAGATGATTAAAGTCCAAATACACACTCTGCTTTTGAGAATATTGGTTACTTTAATTTTACCAAACACCAGGACAAAAATAAAAGCAAACTTTAAGCTAACCACCTGTTTGAAATAGTGCAAAGTGTTGAAGTGTTACTGTTTATGGGACTCTGCACCCTAAAATCACGCTGACTGACTGATCTGGAAAAGGTTAATGAGAACACTACTGTAAGCTCTTATCTGACTTTCTTGGATCACTGAACTTATTTGGAGTCCTCTCCCTTTCTTCTCTCTGTAGGTTTACCCAAGAGAATGGTTCTGTTACCAGTTATGAAATTCCCAACTTATCCTGTTCCCCACTACTCATTCTTTTAGCAAATGGCAGAAGCTAATTCCTATTGATTGAACAACACAGTACAGTACAGAATGTTAGAAGAAAAAAAGCCTTTTTATCCTGTTTTCTTTGAACACATACTTGAGCAAAGTCATTTGTAAAGAAACATCTTTTTCCTACTTTTTGATTTTAACAAAATGCAAATTTAGTTCTCTAAAACTTGAAAAAAATGTTCTGTGAAATGTTACCTCATTTTCAAATAACTTATACCAGCCTTCTGTTATAGGGAAGAACTAGAAGCTTAAATCTTACGTTTTAAATGAAGTATCCGATTATGTAAAATTAAATTTGTGAAGGATGTATAGAATATAAAACACTGATCACAAATAAACTGTTTTGTTGTAACACAAGAGTACTGCCTGTTTCCTAATGCAGTCACAACAGATTCAGTTAATGACCTGTACTTGTTGTAGGGTTATTAAATGCAGGGCATAGTTCTTTAAAAAATAAAAATTAAAAATAAAAAAAACCCAAACTCACACAATAGAAACTTTACAGTTAACATTTAACTTTGTAAATATTATGGTGTGTAATAAACTTAGTAAAATATGGGTTAAAATATTGTTTTATCTTATTTTTTATAGTTAAGCATCAGTACCTGAATTTCCTTACAGTCTTTAATATCAGCATACTGTAACTGTGATTTTAGACACAGTCTTAATTATCCAAGAAGGCTTTTCACTTGTACACAAAATACTGAAAAACAAATGAAACAAAGGGAATTAATCTTAGGCTGTCTCTCTGTATTAGGTTGCATTCTGTGAAATTAAGTATTAAACAAAGGAAGTTCCCACAGAAGGACTCTTGTTATGTAATTACAGGAATACACAGTTAAGTCCGTATTGCCCAGAGAAAGGACGACAATAATGTTAAAAACAGGTTCTTTAGAGCTCAAAAGCTGCTTGTTTTCCTTTCTTTTCTGTTTTTACAAAAGAGGAAAAAAAAGAAAAAAAAAAAAGAAAAAAAAAATTGTACTTGTTCTTGTGGCCTTCTTCACTTTTAAGATTGTCTGCCCACCCTTGATTTTTCCATCCACCATTTCTAGAGAAAGCATTTTAGTTGTCAATCTCGTATTAAAACAAAGGGTTCTCCTTTTCCCCCTTACATTTATAAGAATCTAAAGCAGCAACAAGGTCCCCATGAAAACTTGCTATTTAATTGTCCCAGTTCTTGTTGAGTGCTGCTGTGAAAAGTGACACACTTCAGCCATAGGCCAGTACTTTTATCTAAGAGTTGGTGCTCAAACCAAAAGAATCCTCTTTCTGCTACGGAGTGTGCGCACCTGTCTGAAATTCCAGGACAGGCCCCAGCTCCATGCTGTCTCCATCTGTTGTGGACTTCTGCATAAAAACTGCTATGGGCTCGAATGAGGAATTCGAGTAGTCTTTATTAAGGTATCACCCCACAAAATAAGCAGCACTGTTGGTTGCACTTCTCTACTCAGACCTCACCTGTTGCTTTTCAGTAGGTTTACTTTAGTTCATGCTCTTTCAAAGATGGCCTTTATACACTCTGTTCTCCAACAGACTCTGCTGCTGAGGCGGGGGAGCTTTATATATGAAGAGGGTGTAAGAACGGTGCTTAAAGCAATGTAAAGTTCCTCCTCCCCTA